CAGGCATTCATCCCTTCCTCCCTTCCTTTATTTATACATGGAGGCTTTCTGAGCTTCCTCCTCTGCTCACCCCCGTGCCAGCCCGAGAGGGCACAGGTGGGATTTGAATGCAGATTCCATCTCAGGTGACATTTATTGGGAGCCTTCAGTGTCAGGTGTTTGATCCATATCTTAACACTTAATTCTTGCAACATGTACACCAGGAGGGAATCTGCTGTCTCATTTTACAGGCTCAGAAAAAAACGGTTGGCCTAAGACTACCCCATGGGTAGGAGGCAGAGCCCAGGACCCAACAGACCCCATGTGCTCAATCTCCACCTCAGGTTTCATATTCCAGTCTCACATTTGCTCTTGCGTTCCCTCGGGCCACTCTGGTGGGTCCTACGCTCTTATTCCTCTCAACAGAAGCAGCCCTGGTATCTAATAGCCCAGCTCCCAGCAGGCTCTGTGGGAGGAAGGTGGCAGAGGGAAGCAGCCCCCTTGGGGAGCCCATGAGTGCAGCCGTTGTTTGGGGAACTGCTCCCCGGCCAGGGCCCTGGAGCAGTCAGGGGCAGGAAGGGGGCCAGGCTGCTCCACTCTGCACAGGGTGGGGGTGGGGTATCTCCAGGCCTGAAAAGTCAACCCAGACAAGGGGTCACAGCCACTCCCTCCTTCCCCCAAGATGTCATGGGTCCAGCAGGCTCCCCCTGGCTGTGCTGGTGCCCTTCACCATCCTGGAGCACCTGCCTGGTGGAGGGGTGGGGTGAGAATTCAAGCTTGCCAGGCCCGGGGTTGGGTTGAGTCAGGTGCCAGGAAGGAGCTTTGGGAGAAACTTAAACCACCACTCCACTGGGCTGGGAAGACTAAGGGGGCCACTAGGGTGGGAAAGGGGCCTGGAAAGAAGAACATAGAAAAACCAAGACAAGGAGAGAGGGACAGAGAAGAAAACACAGATGCAAAGAACACGTAGAGAGAAAAAAGACAAAGAGCACAGAGGCCAAGAGACAGACACACAGAGAGAAAGGAGAGGAAGAGGCTGAGAGAAGGGAAGAGGGACTCCCCCCACCTCCAGGACGGGGAGAGGCCTCAGGCAGCTCCTCAGCTGGGGTTTGGCCACAGCCTGCTGGACTCTGGGAAAGAGGCAGGGACCACACCCCTCTGGAAGCCGTCAGCGTCCCTCAAGGAGGAGGGTGTGGGGAGGAAGCCAGACATGAGCCACGTCTGAAAAGAGAAAACAGCAGGATTTTGCAAAGGCCTGAACTGGCTCTGGGCAGGGCGGTTACGCAGACTGGGTTCTCTGGTCTGATATTTCACAGTGGGCAGAAGGGACAGAGCCCCAGGCAGTCTTGGGCTGCGTAGGAGAAGGACTGGGTGGGCAAGGTTGTCCGAGAGAGAAGCCTGGCTCCCTCACCACCACTCCCTTGCAGATGGAAAACAGAGACCCAGGGAGGGAAAATGTCTGGCCAAAGGTCACACAGTTTCCAGGTTTTCTAGAACAGCAGCCCCTCAGTCACTCATTCAGTGATTCACTGAATTATTCCACAAGCATTGGCTGAGCAATTGCCATGTGCTAAGTACTGTGCTAGGTACTAAGGGGACATTGATGAATAGTAGATGGCCTTCCTTCCCCAGAGAGAGGCAAGCATGACAACACATTGTGCTAAATGCTGTGATGAAGGGGAGCTCTAGGGTGTGGAGCCAGTCTGGGAGTTCAAGGGTAGTTCCCCAAAGAGGAATAATAGGGCTAAATTGAAAAGTTGAGTAGGAGCCAACCAGGAAGGTGGGGAGGGGGGGCTGAGGGGAGGGGAGACATGCCCGGCAGAGGCAACAGAATGAACAAAGTGCATTGCATCCAGGTCACAAAATTCAGCTCACTGTGCATCCCAATGCACAGGAAGCTCAGTTATTTTGTTTGTTACTAATCTGACTTTCCTCCCAAACCACACCCTGCCTTGGTTAGCAGGAAAATATGACATAATGTCATCTAATGTGGTTTAAAGCTGGGTCTGATCCATTGTAAATGATCTCTTCAGGTAATGCTCAGTCTGTCTTGTGTAAAAATGTTCCATCTTTCAGGTCTCTACTACCTCCACCTGCCTCCCCAGGTGTGTGTGTGTGTAGGGGGCTCTAATGTGTGTGTGTGTGTGTGTGTGTGTATGTGTGTAGGGGGCTCTAATGTGAGCAACCAGGCAGATGCTGGGTTGCCCTGAAGGGCAGATGGAATCCATACCATCTCCCTCTCCAGGGTGATGATGGGGTCCTCACAGGAGGTCTCCAGCCCAGGCCCAGTGGTGGCCCTGGCTGGTCTGGCTGCACCTTGGCTGGTGGTGCTTACAAAACCAGTCTCTCGCTTGTTCCCCATCTGACCTCCTGCCCCGTGGTCTTCCCTAAACCTCTGCTGCCCGGGTCCTTTACCCTCCCAGGACTATTTGCTCACTTGTTCTCAGTTCAGCCTCCAGGTTACTTGGAATGCAGGACAGCCCAGGAAAACAAGCGCTCAGGACTCCCTCTCTTGGACCACAGTGTGAGGCTGCATGCCCCCGTTCCTGCATGGTATTGCAGAGAATGAATGCATCATCCCCTGTTCTTGTATATTTACCTCCAATTTTTCACTATTATGAACAATCCTGTAATACACGTCTTTGAACCTTTTTCTTTGTGCACATATGCAAATGTTTCTCTGAGGTAGATACCGAGAGGTGAGTCACCAGGTCAAATACACCAAGGTATGAGTATTCTAAATTCTGAATTGAGTCTGTGAGTTGGCCTCCAAAAAGTCTACACCAACTTACATTGCCACTCAACATTGGATATCATTGATATTTTTCAAAATTTGTCAAATTTTTGAAATTTTTCCAAAATTTCTTATTTGCCAAATGAATTTCATTTGGCATTGCCCAAGCAATATTCCCCTTTAACTTCCATTTCTCTGAGGAGCTGCAAGGCAGGCATCTTTGCAGGCATAAATCCATTTTATTTCTCTTATGACTTTCCTGTTCCAACACTTTGCCCAGTCTTTTATCAGGTTGCCTATCGTTTCTTGTTGATTTACAGAAGTCCTATTTTCCAGACATTGATCTCTTTCTCTGTGGCAAATATTTCTCTTGATTTGTCATTCGAGTTTTGCCATTATGCTGTCTCCTTTTACAAAAAGTTCCTGAGAGGCGGTCAAATGTAGCAAACCTATCCTTTAGAGCTATCGTCTTTTATTTTATATTTTGTTTTTTCTAAGTTAAAGTATAAAGTTGCTCAGGTATCCCAAATGGTCTCCCACACAAGGGACTTAGTGACTGACCCACAAAGGATTTAATCCAACTTTCCCCACCAGTGAGAGAGCCCTGTGCCCAAGCAGCCACTGCCACCATCACTCCTGTCTGCCACCCGGCATCACCTGCCCCCCATTCCCGATCCAACAGCCAAAGCAGGGCTCTCTGCCAGGCCCCATGTTCCTCCAAGGGGCCACCCCACCATCTCCACTTTAAGCTCAGATAAGGGTGCACGGTGCCCGGGCTCCTTGCCTGGCAGGTCTGCCTGCTTGGCCCAAGGCCATGGGCAGTCCTGGTGGGGCAGGGTACAGCCTCCACCTTCCTGTGGATATGACTTTGGTCCCTTTTTCTCCTCTGGGATCTGGCAGCTTTTCCTTTTCAGCCCACAAAACACTCTAATTACACTCTAGTCACACTCCCTATCCCTGACCACCCTGTTGGCCCCATCCAGGGGTGGCTGCAGTTCCCAGAGCCGGGCAGAAGATGCATGCTCTGGCGTTTGCCTCACTCCCTCCCTTGCAGCCCCTCACAACCTGACAGCCTGAGCCCATGCTGTGCAGCTTTTCAAGGTCCCCTTTCCCACTTCTCATTCCCAGGTAACCGCAGAGCCAGGGATCCAGGTTGTTTCCAGTGTCTGCCTTCTCAAAAATGCTGATCCACTGTCCCTTCCCCCTGAGGACCCCACATTCTTGTAGGACATCTGGGGGCCTTCCCTGCAGCAACATTCTAAAAAAGGCCGCACTTGTGAATTCCAAGGTCATTTTCTGCCTAGAGCTTCTCTCATTAAAGACAATATAACTTCGTTCCTTACAGGACAGTCCTCCTGAGCCCATAGCCCATCTGAATTCTAGGGTGACCACTAAGGTACATATAGACATTCAGAGTAGCACCCATCAGCCGCTGTGCCTGAAATGTCACCATATGTATGTCACAATGTCATTCCCTTGTGTAAAATGCCTTTTCGGGGAGCTTTCTTTAAATGCAAACATATTCCACTCTTTATGCTTCAGTATGAATTAGATTATCATTGGGTCCCCCTGTGACAAGAAAGACTATGACAACCAGACAGCCCAGATTTTCCAGGGACATCCTGATTCTAAATATTAAAATATTTTATTGATATGTGCGTAACCAAAATTTGTACTACCTTTATGTGAGTCTATTTTTTCAATGAAATTATTTATTACGTGTGTGACTACCTATGGTTTAAATTTTGTAAGTTATTCACACTCAACCTTGTCCCAGGCCCTGAGCTAGAGCTAGGGATACAAGCACAAAGACGCTGGACACTGATTCAAGATGAGGCTCATGGCCACAGGAGAGGACAGGTGGGCAACAACTGTATCCTACAGAAGATAAGTGCTGGAACAGAGGTTTGACCCCAGCACTTTGGAGCCAGCGAGGTGGGTAACTAACTGCTTGAGGCAAAGGGGAACGTCCCGAAGGACCTCCGGATGTAGCCATATGGAATAGAGGGCCAAGGGCATTCACACAGATGTAACAGCTGTGCAAAAGCCCGGAGGCCAGAGACAGCATCTTGCTTCTGGGGAACGGCAAAGCCCCTGGTGCTGTTAGGGCCAGAGGACAGGGTGCGTGGAGGAGCGGAGGGAGGCAGCAAGACAGGGGCCAGATCACGAAGCGCCTGGCATTTACCAGGCTAGAAAGGAGCTTGTGGGTTTTATCTTGATCGCCATCAAGAGCCCACAGAGGATTTTATTTCTTTCTTTCGAATATTTTATTGACACACTTACAGAAAGATTCACATATCTTAAGCGTACATGTCGATGAATTTTTACAGGAAGTACACCCATGTAAACGGGCATCCCAAGCAAAATACAGAACATTTTCACTACCCAGAGGTACTCCCAGGCCCCTTCCGGTCATTATGCACTCCCCCCCGCCCCCACCAAGGTTAACCACTTGTCCCGTCTTCCAGCACCATAGGTTCATCTCACCGGGTTTGAACTTGATGAAGGTAGAATCGCACAGTATGAACTCCCTGGTGGCTCTGAGAGTCATTGGAACAGCTGCTATAGCGGTAGCTTGAGCGAAGCGCGTGCGCAGTCTTGGGTCCGGGCGCGTGCGCAGACTCGGGTCCAGGCGCGTGCGGTCACGGGTCCGGGCGCGTGCGCAGTCTCGGTCTGGGCGCTCTGGCATAGCGCTGCGGACCTTCCTGCGCGTGTCTTTTAGAGCCCATATGTACACATTTGGGGGAATATTTCAAAGTGTGGAATCTGGCTCAGCTTTAATATGTGGTGCCAGATAGTTTTCCAGAGTGTTCGTAGGTGAAAAGTTTTGAGCAAAGAAAAGGCAGGATGAGGCAACGCGTCTCGGAAAAGGCGGAGTGTGAGGGGCGCAGGGACATCGCAGGGGAGCTGCCCTGAGGCTGGTGGCTGGTGGGTATGGAGCTGGGCAGATTGCCATCTCGGCCGGAGAGGGAGATCAGGGAGTGGTCAGAGCAGGGAGGACAGAGAACGTGTGCTGTGGAGAAGGACTGGGACCAGAGACAGGCCCTGGACACAGCCATGGTGAGGGAGCCGTGGAGACAGAGAAGTCTTCGCAGGCTACCGAGAAGTCATAGCCTAGGAAAGAGGGAAGAGCCAGCCAGGGGAGGGGGACAAATCATAGGCACTAAGGGGAGGGTCTGAGGAAGAAGGGCAGGTCTAGAGCACCGGAGACACCAAGAGGGCCGCTGATTAGGACCGAACGAGAGGTGTCCACTGAATTTGATGAGAGCGTGCGGGGGACCTGGCAGAGGGCATGGTCAGTGGTGCTGGTGTGCACGCCAGTCTGCACACTGGGCTGCCACACGATGAAGCAGGAGAAATAAGCAACAGGCTTAAAGGGCTCAGCACTGCATCTGGAAGCTTGACATCCGTCCTACTGAACTCATTCCCCCTGGAGGCTGGGTGCCGCCTCCGGCAAGGGGCAGGTGCGGTCTGCTCCTCCCTTTGTCTCCCCTCTTCCCAGCACCCTCCCGAGCTTCAGTAGTTGTCCTCAGGGCCCAGGCTGAGGAGGAGAAGGTGATGGTGCCAAGGGGTTAAGCCTGAAGGGCCAGGCAAATCTCTCAACAGCTCCGTTGTTTATCTGAAGCTTAAAGGTTACTAGAGGGGGTAGAAATGGGAATCACTTCTTGAGATGAGAATGAGAACAAAGCAAAGCAGCCTGGGTCCCTGTCCAGGTCCTCTCCTTCCTGGGGACACCCTGCCCTTTCCCTTCCCCAGGTGCGGCACTCATGCCAACCCCGGGGGACCTCCCTCCCAGCACTAATGATGACAGCCACAGATGAGCACCAAGCCGGGCCCCGGTGCTAAGTGCTTTCCTCACAGCCTCTCTTTCAACTTTCAAGGGGATCTGCTGAAGAGAGTGGAGCGTATCATTACCCCCATTTTACAGGCGAGAAAACTGAGACCAGGGGAAGTAAATTCACCTGCCCAAGAATACCGGCCAGGAGGCTGCAGACACTGACTCCAAAGCCTCTGCGTGCTCTAACCCCCACCCAGTCCATCTCTGCACCCAGGCTCTTTGAATCTCGGAGTCATGTTGACCCCCACTCCATCCTCTGGGAAGGCCCAGACCTACCCCTTTCCTCTCCACTTCCTGAAGTAGGAGTTCTGCTGTGCATTCGGGAACAAAAGGGCCACTGTGATAGGGTGGAGTTTTTTACTGGCTGCATGACCTTGGGCAAGTCATTCGGCCTCTTTTCTTTATAAAAAAGTGGGGTAATAATCTAACCTGCCAGGGTGGTGGTGAAGAGAAACTTGAGTTGTACATGAAGGACCAAGTGCAGATGTCTCAGAGTCAACAGTCCATCGGGTTCTGGTCACTCCTTCCTCTGGTTTCCATGTTTGGACCTCCCTCTTCCCTTTCCTGTCAGAGGCTTGGTCGTTTACATGGACAGCTCCAGTGATGGTCTTTGCTGTGTAATCTGAACAAGGGCTCATGTTTGCTTTGGGTAACCCAGAATATCGCCTTGGACCCTGACATTAACATCCCCCAAAACCTTTCAGCCTGAGGGGTTCCTTGCCTGACACTGACAGACCTTACAAAAAAAAAAAAATAGGGCTGGAGTGTTGGCTCAGAGCCACTGGACCAGCCTACCGAGCAGGTTAACTGCTGGGGTCCTCATTTGAAATGCACACCTTGACTCAAAGGCTGATGGGCCAGTAGCACCTGACGGGTCTTCATCCAGTATTCTCTGACTTTTTAATTCAATGAGGTTCCTCCTGTGGACACATATTCTCACATGCAAGCCCCACTCACACCTATGGTCACAGTCAAGCCCACGGTCACACACACACTCATAGCCAAGAGTATATACTCCGAGGAGTCACCTACTGCCAATTGAGGGGAGGGTGCTGTTGGCAGCCAGCAGGTGGGATGCAGAACTCTGTGACAAGGGAGATGTCATGGTCCTGCCCAAAGGGGTTCTGTGTCAGCACCCCCACTCCAAAAAGGGAGTGATGCTTTCAGGTGGGAGGGGCTTTGATGCTCCTTACAATAGAGTAAGTGGGAGGCACTCACCTTGGAGAGCTGTGACACAAGGCTCAGGTTGGAGAGAGGGATGGCTGCCTCAGCCATGCTCCTGGGTGCAGGGGTGTGACCTCCATGCTTCACTTCTCCTGCTGCTGGACAGAACTCCGGTCAGGTGAAGGTTCTCTCAGATGATTCAGGGCCCTGGGGTGCCAGAGTTCTGGAGGTGGATAGGGTGCATAGTGCTAGGGCAATGGCAAGGAGCCACCCATCCTTGGTCCGCTACATTCTGTGATAGCAACACCCCTGCTGTCCCCTCATTCCTGCTGGCGGCCCTGGTCACCAGCATCCATCCCCACTGGCATCTGTTGAAGGGCACACATTCCCATCTGATCAGACCCATCTTAGATCTGGGCAAAAGGGGCCCCTGCCTGGGCCCTCTGCTCTAGAGGCTCATGCACATCACAAAGACTGAAATACAGGTATAGAGATGCAGATAGTAAGAAATTATTTTGGAAGCCCGTTAACTGACTGAGCAAACAAGAAGACCAGAGATGGAAGTCAGAGACAAATTGTCCCCATCTGTGCTGGGCCAGAGGCCCCAGGGCTGAGGTTACATCACTCTGTGAGCATCATGCCTCCCTGCATCAGACACACTGAAGTGTTAGGAGGTAAGAGTGCATTGGAGAGGCAGAGCCCTCACCCCTCACATATCCAGGTGGGCTCTCAGCTGCCCCCAGCCTGCCCGGACAACCTTGGATCCACATGGCTGGCACCATTAGCCTCACAGCGAGTCTGAGCACCCTCCAAGGGGTTTGGCACAGTAATTAAATCAGGGCCAGGAGGAGGGGGGGAATTGAGTGCAGGAAGTAAAGCAGTAACTGCAAGGTCCAGAAGGAAAACAGAAGCCCAGAGGCACTCACCTGGGACCTCCCTGGTCAGAGCTCTGGGGACAGCACAGCTGGGACACTGTAGCACTGTGGGTCCTGGCAGCCTGTAGGAGGCAGGGAACTGTAGGACAGCTGAGGAGGCAGGTCCAGGGTGGAGGCAGGGATCACTTCAAAGGTACAGAGCTAAGCTGGAGTAGAAGCCAGGTCTTTTGGTAAGAGGACGCTTCCTACCTCCCCACACCCTGCAGGAGCCATGGAAGCTCCAGGCTCGTCATTTGCTCCCACGTGGCCAGGGCTTTGTTTCTTTGTCACAACATAATGCTGTTAATGAGACCAAGGCACTGAGCCTTGTCCCTAGGCTGGGCTCTCCTCCCCTGACGACAGCTCCTATCCCCAAAAGACAGACACAATCTTAAGAATAATTGGTCAAATTCAGCAGATAGGTTTTCTGACGTTGGACTGCTTTCATATCCTCTGACTGTCCCCACCCCAACTCTCCAGACCCACGCCAGGAAGCTGGCAGCCCAGAGCTCATCTCAGGTTGACCTATCAGTGGTTTGTGAGCAATTCAAGGGCAGGATTGGACCCCACCCCTCCATGGGTCTACAGCACCCAGAACAGAGCTTCTCACAGAGGCCTCAAGGGTACCTGATGAATGAATGAATGAATGAATGAATGAATGAATGAATGAACCACGTCTGTTTTGCCTGGAATAATATCCCCATACCAATATGTCCCCGGAGAGGGACATGGCACAGTGCCCGGAGAGACGTGGAGGGTGGATGGATGGATGGTGTGCTGCGCGTCTTCCGTTTGTCCCTCCAGCTCTGCTCACCACATTTCCACATCTGCTCTGTGTCCCAGAGGCTGACCTGAAGGGACTGCATCAACTGGCCGCAGTGCCCTTTGGTTTCTGGTTGGGTCAGTGAAGGGAAGCCCGGCAGGAGATCGAAAGGAAGAGAGAAGAAGGGAAGAAGCTCAGACTGACATATCTCTTGACAAAGGGAACTGCTCCTCTCAGGTCCTCTCTCCCCAGGTTCCATCAATGTCTCCCTCTCCTCATTCCTTCAGGTTCTAGGTAATATCAACCTTGCTCTTCCTAACTCTAGGACACTAGAGTGGTTTCCCTTCAAACCATACCTCCTCATCTTAATAAATAGTCCCTTTATTAAGCCCACCTTTTTAAAAAAAAAATATTTTATTTATTTATTTTGACAGAGAGAGAGGGAACACAAGCAGGAGGAGTGGGAGAGGGAGAAGCAGGCTTCCCGCTGAGCAGAGAGCCTGACGTGGGGCTTGATCTCAGGACCCTGGGACCATGACCTGAGCCAAAGGCAGACTATTAATGACTGAGCCACCCAGGCGCCCCTATTAAGCCCAACTTGAACTCTCTACTTTAAGTGTAAATCTGTTTTCTACTGGGATTCTGTCTGATAAATGGGTAACTGGTTGGATGGATGGATGGATGGATGGATGGATGAATGGATGGATGGATGGATGGATGGGTGGATGGAGAGATGGGTGGATAAAACTAGCATAATGGAGTAGTTAAGAGCCCAAGTCTTATAGCCTGGATTTGTATACTAGCTTTACTACTTACTAGATGTGTGAACTTGAACAAGTTATATAATGTCTCTAAGATTTTGTTTTCTCAGCTGTAATATGGGAATAAAAATAGTGACTTACAGAACTGCCATGAGGATCAAATGTGATAATAAATGCAAAGAATTAAGCATCTTGCTTGGCACACCGTAAGTGCCCAGTAAATGGTCACCACTGCTGCTCTGGTTGGCCAGTCAGATGGTAAGATGAAGGCCCACACTGCCTCCCTCAACTTGACCCACGTGAAGTTCATGAATGAGGTCAACACAGGTGGTGCAAAACATCTGTGAGTTCTTTCCTGGGGTTGGGGGGGAAAGACTTCCCTCCCTCCCCCAAGCCTGGCTGTGGAAAGCACTGGTGTTGTTCTCGCTCTTCTCCCAGAGCTGGGTGGGTGGTTATTTGAGGTGGGCAGACAGACAGCTCTGTCTGTCTCCTGCTCGGCGTTCCCATGGTCTTGCTCCGCTTTCTCTGGCGTGGGAGTGGGGGGCATGGCTGACTACTGGGTGACCTCAATGACTGTAGCAGTTCAGCTCTAGACACAGCAGCCCCTTAGCAAGCTTCCCACCCCCTACCTTTCAGGAGGCCCAGTAAAGTTCAAGAGCCACAAGCCTTTGTGGTGAGGGGCATCTCAGGCTATGAGCCCCCCAGCAAGACTGAGAGGAGTCCCCAGAATCTCCCTCTTTAGAAGCCTAAAATCTTTAGAAGAAGGGAGGAATGGCCCTGTCACCAGGCGGGCAGCCTTCTACTCCACAAGGAGCAGCCCTGAACTCCCTGCCCCTCCCGTGGTACCTGCAAGCCGCCCACCCCCAGCGCAGCCACACTCGCTCCCTCCGGCCCCCACGGTCAGTGAAAGTTCACAGAGGTCCCCTCAGTAAAGGGCCACCCCAGGCACTGGGGGTCCAAATGAGGCAGACGAGGTCCCAGCCTTCCAAACGCATGACACACATCCAGAGATGGTCACAGTGGGAAATGGATGAACTCAAACCCACATTTTTCAGATGTGGACCGTGAGTCCCAGAGAGGGGAGAGACCTGCCCAAGGCCACCTACCACTTTGGGGCAGAGCCTGTTCCAACCCAGTTTTCCAACTACCAGGCCAGTGTCTTTCCATCGCCTGAGTCAGCGAGAGTTTCAGGAAAGGAGACAAAGTGGGTCATGGCTTGGGGCCAGGGAATTGAGGGGCTTTGGAAAGTGACCTGAGTTCAAAGCCTGGCCCCACGGCTGGCTTGCTGGGAGATGTTGGCAAGTCACCTGATCTCTCTTGGCCTCAATTTCCTCAGCTTTGAAATCAGAGAGTTTCCTCCTGCAAGAATATATAGAGAGAATCTCCGGCTTTGTGCCTGAATAAAATGTGTTAGGTTGAATGTAAGAAACTGTCAGATTTTCAAATGATGGTTTCACTCATAATTATCATTTTTATTGGTCTTAGTGTAATTATTATCAACTGTGTGCTCTTGCACATATGCCTTTCTCTCTCGGTCTCCTCCTCCAAAAAAAGGAAGCTGATAAGCAAAGCACATTGCATAAGCCCTGGAACATAGTAGGTGCTCCCTGGAGCTTGGTCTCCTCGACGTCTTCCCCTCCTCATGCAGTCACGTCCTCTGTGGGAGGTCACAGGGGAACCTATCCTCCCTGCTGAGTACCACGGCCCCGTGAGGATGAGGATGAGATCGTGACTGAGAGAGGGGGGAAGAGTAAGGAGCTGGCTTCTAAAATCATTTTCACGGGGAAATGGGAAAAGTTAAAAGAAAAACTTACCAGGTCATGTTTTCAAACACCTGACACCGTGCAACCCTATGAAGCCGTGCCTGGGACTTCAGGCGTCAGGAACAGGAGACCAGAGCACTGCGGGTAGAAACTCCCTCCTCCACTCCCCGCCTCCTCCCTGAGCAGGATTTAGCAAGACAGTTCAGTGTGTTCTGGGTCATAGCTGAGCAAATTGCCAGAATGTCCTTTGGGCAGCTGGAGGCCACCTGGAGCCATAGCAGAACTGAAGATTCCAGATCTGGGAAGGCCCCTCGTCTCTGAGTTCAGCCTCCTGCCTCTAAATGGGTGGCTGTCAGACCCTGAGGGCAGAGGCTGCCCCCCAAGGATAGAGACGCCACCCCAACTCTCATCCCCTGTAGGGCTTTCCCTCATGCCAGCCAGGAAGCCTCCCTTTTGTCCAGCCTCAGCCCTTCCTCCCTTGACCCATCAATCAATAGCCCTCGGTCGCATCTCCATGTGCTGGCCCAGGGGACGCAGGGACCACCAGAGCATCCCTCCCCTGTCCACTCCCCAGTCTGCGTCACTGGGTCAAGCACACAACTTCTCTACCAGCCTGGACACAGGCTAAGGCTAGACCCAGGTGAGGCAGGACCCAAGTGACACGGAGCATGTGGCAAGCACTCCCTAAACAGTTGCTCAGTGTTAAATGAATGGATGAACAAATGAGTGAACAGCCAGGCTCTACAGAAGCATTTTCAGGAACCAGGCTCACTGCTTCCCAGGTAGCCCATTTCCCTGAAGGAAACAGGCTCGAAGTGGTAGGCCCGAGCCAAGGCAGGCATGGCCGGCCACCCAGGTCTCCTTCCGCCCCCGGGGAGGCGCTATCCACTGGAGAGGCCACAAACCTTCCCACACATGCCTGGGCTTCAAACCAGGAGCTGGGGGATCCCCAGGTCTGGAAAATCCCCCGTGCCTGGTGCTAGATTTTCCCATCCCACCCCACCTCCCCCACAGGCCTGGACATTCTCAGCACCATTTCTTGGAAGGAACTACTGGCTTATGATGAGAAGTTCTGGAATTCACTACAGGAAGTGGCCATCTGAACAATGGGAAGAGAGCCCTGACTCAGAGCCAAGAGCTTCAGGCTCTGATGCCCACTCCAGCAACTACAGATGTAGGATGCGGGATCCGATGGACCTGGGTTCAACTCCAGCCCTCCCGCTTAGGAGCTGTCCGATTCCTGGCAAGCCATTCCCCTCACTGAGCCCTGGTTTCCTCTTTTTAAGAAGGGATTATAGTATCTGCCTCAGCAGATTCCTCTGAGGATCATGTGAGGAACCAGATATTCAGCTGGCATGCAAAGATTCTAACTTACTGCTTGGTAAGTCGCTGGTGCTCAGAGCCCCCTGAGTGCCCCTTCCATCCAACACATCACCACGCCCAGCACGATTCAGCAATGGAAGGGTTAACTTCTAGCTCCATAGAGGATCTCCGGTGACCCTTCTGATCAGTTGGTGCCCATATTAAACTAAGGGGTATGAGAAAATGCTTTATAAACTGCCGGGTGCTGGCTATCCCCTAGATCCACACCTTCCTCCCAGATCCGTCTCCTGATCGTGGATAGTCCGCCCTGCCTCCTGGACCCCCATCTGGATGGCCCGTGGGCATGGCATGCTCTCCACTCCCAGACTAAACTGGGTCCCGTTAAACCCAGTGCAGAGATTGGCCTCACCTCTGCCCAGCTGCTCTGCATCGCTTCCGTACCCAGTCTGTCCCTGTCTGATGATTCTGTATTCCCTAAGTCTCCCAGATCCATCCCTCCTTCCTGCCCCACCCACCTCCTGCCCTCCTCAGTCCTCTGCTGAATCAGAACAGCCTCCTCACTGGCCTCTGCAAGTGGACCGCACCCCTCCCCCGACATTTCATTCTCACGCATTGACATCCCTCAGTGATGGCTGTCACAGGTCGGGTTCCTGGGGAAGGAGATTCTGGCATGAATATGGGCTGACAGGAGGCTTATTGGGGATTGAGCTCAAGATCCAACACTGTGGGGGAATGACCTAAGCAGGACTGGGCAGAGGGACAAGTTGGGCTGTGAGGCAGACCCCACCTAGGCCTCAGCCACCCTCTCAGGGAGCTCTGCAGTTGGAATGAATTTTCACAGTTGGGCCAAATTGAGGCATGGGCTCTGAGCAGTAGACCCCCCTATGGACCAGTCAGTAGATACGGGCCGGTCGCAGGAAGGGGAGTGCCATTAGATGAGGAGGGTCCCTTCTGCCTAAGGCAATGGCAGGGAGGAGAGTCTCAGCCCGCAAGCTGTCAGCCATCAGTGGGATGGTGGCTCCAGTCTGAGGGGGGAGGCGTGGGCATCTGAGCAGTGTACTCGGTGCCCACTGAAGGTGCTCTGGGTAGAGTAGATCTTCAGGAATGCTTGTTGCATGATGAAAAGAATAACCCTCCATTGCCTTCAAGATGAATTTTGAATGTCTTAATCGGCACACAAGGCCCCTCCTGATCTGCCCCAGACAACCCCTCCACTGGGCTCTCATCTCCCCCCTCCCCGCTCACTCTCCACTCTCTTCCCATATTGTGCTTCTCGCAGTTTCCCAAGCCCCACATGCCATTTCACACCTCTGCTTTCACACACGTTACTTCATCTGCCTGCAATGCCTTTAAATGGAAGAAGAAATCCTCCTCTCCTCTTCCAGCCCCTCCCTGCTCCTCTAGTGAGACTCTAGCCAAGCTCTACCTCCCCCCCGGGAAAACTTCTACTCATTCCTCCGCACATGCTGCTCCCACCATGTCCAAGGGCGCTGAGATCCTCATCCAGGCCCAGATCCAGGGCCCTCGGCAGCCCAAGACGCGCTGTGGAGCCGGAGTAGGAGAGTCTTAGGAAGGGCAGGCAGAGAGAAGAAACAGAAAGTGAAGAGCCCAGGGGCGTGAGTGGGGTAGGGCTTCACGGTGTCTCATACTGTCCAACATGACTGTCCTTGTCATCCTTCTCCCCCCACCGCCATCACCACCATCAGCATGGTGTCGGCAAGACCACACTGTTGAGGGCTTACTACATCCCGGGCCCTAGGCCAAGGCTTTGGCAGGCACACTCGCTTTAACCCGGGTTTATACTCACTATTAATAACCCCCAACAGTAGGTACTATTATTAAGTTCAGGAAGGTTAACAGCTCTGTCCAAGGTCAAACAGCTGGTTAATGGTCTGTCTGGCCCAAGGACTATTCACCTCACCAGCAGGCAGCTGGCCACACTGATCTCATCCCTTCCTGCCCCTCCCGTCCCCATCCCCGTCCCTGTCCCCGTCACTGTCTGCGGGAACTTTTTTCCTAAATGAAAGGACAGCCCGCTGAGATGTAGGGTGGGCCCAGCTGCAGCTCCAAGAGACTGGGGAGGGGTCTTGGGAGACGGTGGGGGAGCACGCTCAGAATCACATCTGCCCTTCTAGGTCAGACCAAGATGGGGTTTGATTCAGCTCCGGCCGTGAGTGCTGCTTGGAGACCCGGTCCCCTCCTCTTGTCTGTAAAAAACGGCATCTGAAGCCCTGAGGGAAAGAGCCCCATTGAGGGTCACACTGTGTGTCAGGGGCCAGCCAGTTTACAGCCTGGACTCCGGGCTCGCAGACCGGGCCACCTTCAAGGGGGAATTTGACGAGGGGCGCCTGGGTGGCTCAGTTGTTAAGCATCTGCCTTCAGCTCAGGTCATGATCCTGGGGTCCTGGGATTGAGCCCGCATCGGGCTCCCTGCTCAGCGGGGAGTCTGCTTCTCCCTCTCCCTCTGCTTGCAGCTCTGTCTACTTGTGCTCTCCTCTGTCAAATAAATAAATAAAATCTTTACAAAGGCAGGGGGAGGAGAATTTGAGGGTACAGGGAAGAACCCCTCCTCACCCACACAAAGGCCCACCTCCCCAGGCTGCAGAGATGCCTGGAATCCCTCTAGGGTGATGAGCCTCCTGACCCTTGACTCAGGCCCAAAGTCTCCACCCCAGCTGGAAGCCACCCGCCCAGCTCCCTCGACTCCGGGTATACACAAGCAGCCAGACTTTGGGGGTGAGGAAACCCCAAATGTGGTCGTGACAGGGACAGATGGACAAATAAGAGGCAACACAACCTAGTGAGAGGATTTAACCAAACTGGTTTTAATCAGGCTCCAAGTGTGACTGATCATGTGAACTCTGGGAGGATATCTGATTGCTGTGGACCTCAGTTTTCTCATCTACAAAATGGGAATGAGACTTCCTTTCGGCAAGGTTGTTATGGGGATTCGACAAGACAGATATTGAAAACATTTGATGAGGCAACAGGCCTGGTGCCCAGAAGGAGATGTAGGTAGGTGGCAGTTGGATTATAACTGAATCTGGGGTCAGCCAGAGCCAGTAGATTTGTCCACATTTCTCCAGTCCTGGCTGGACAACACAGACAACACGGAAACTTCTTGGCCTGACACCTAGGACTCCTACCCTGCCTCTTCACTTCTGCTCCCTCATGCCTTGCTCCAGCAGTTCCAGAATTCTCTGTCATATCATTAGATTTTACTGAAAGTACATGTTTGCTTTCTGGTCTGTCTCCCCAACTTGGCAATGATCCCCTAGAGGACCAAGACTGTTTCTGGCTCTTCTGTGTCCCTGGAAGCCAGCACAAGAGCTTGCCAGGGTGCCCAATGCCCGGGGTCCATTGAAGTGGAGTTTTGTAGCCTCAGAAGACAGACTGACCCCAGTGGTTGGGGGATGGAGGAAGGCAGATACCATGTGAGGATGGCCTTTCTGCTAGAACTCTCCAAAGGCAGAAGGGAGTTGCAGATGTGGTGAGTTTCCTGGGAGCATTCAAGCAGAACCTGGGTGGATATTTGGCAGTGGTGTGATCACCAAGGACCAACTGGATCCATAGAATCTCTGAGCCTGGGGAGAAGGTCTGAGTTGGAAAGCCAGTCAGAGGCCCTCAAGCCCAAACTCCTCAAAAGACAGATGGGGAGACTGAGGCCCCTAGATACCCAAGGTGAGCCAATGCTACATCCAGGCAGAGGAGCAGGTCTCCTGGCTCTGCAGAGAGAGGGTGGGTACGGTTACACCCATTTTACAAAAGAGGAGAGTGAGGCCCAGAAGGGGGCAGAAATTTGCGGAAGTCACCAAGAGAGTGTGTGATAGACTGCATCCATCTCTCTGGCTTCAGGGCTCTGCCATGGCTGTCTGGGCTGAAAGGTTTTTGGCCAGAGGAGAAGGAGCCAGAAGGCTGATCCCCACCCTTAGCAAGGCTGGAATAAGTCATATTTCCTGGGCCATGGGGCAATGTCTTCTGGCTAGAAAAGCTACCACATACTCCCGGTCCAGCTCCATTGGTTCAAACACCAAAACTCCAGGAGGGGAGACCTGCAAGGCACTCATTACCTGTCCACAGAGAGTCTGAGGAGGAAACGGGCTCAGAATGGAGAGTGGCTGTTCTGGGAGCTCACCACAACAGGAGCCTGGCCAGATGGGCCTTGACCCCAAGCCCGGTCTCTCTCAGGAGAGAGACAGAGACAGACACCATTACAGAGGGGAGATTATGCTGACCTGGGAAAGTCAGACAGGAGGGGGGCAGGCCTGCCTCTCAACAGGTGGGAGGCCTTTGAGAGCTGGGAGAGGAAACAGCTCAGATGTGCACATCCCTCAGCTGGGCTCCCATTAGACCCCCTGCTGTCCCCTCAGGAACCCCCTGCCCCCGCCAGCACCCATCCTCCCAGTTGTGGCATTCATTGGCCCTATCCTGTCTCTACAGCATCAAACAACCCTAACTCGACATGGTCTCTCATGACTCCGTGCTTTCCACATGCTGTTCCCCGCCTGGAAAACTGTTCCCTCCCTTGTCCCTCTAAGTCTCACTCATCTTTTACTCCTTCAGCTGAGGCTTCCCTGAGAGGCTTCCCTGGCCCTCCAACCCGGCCCCTCCTGACGTGGATCAGATGCCACCTGCTCTAGCTTCCCCCAGCCCACGTGGCTCCTTCCCTCTGTCACAGCACAGGTCACACCATGGTCACTGTTTGTGTCTGCCACCCCCAAAAGACTGGAACAGAAGCCTCTAGAAAACAGGGTTGGGCTCTGATTTAGGCAACATCGTCAGATGCAGCAAAGAGCTGACCACAAAGGATCAACTCATTCATTCATTCCACAAATAATGACCAAACTCTGGCCATGTGCCAGGAACGGTTCCATGTGCCGAAGACAGAACAGGAACAAAACAGACAAAATTCCTGCTGCAGGATCATCACTGTAGGGGAGAGTGGTGGTAGGAGGTAAACAGTAGTGAAAATGTAATAGTCCAAGCAAGTTTGGATGGTGACAGGCTCTGTGAAGAAGGTAACACCGTGCTTCTCGAACCAGGAACTGCAGAGAGGACGGTGGGTACCAGCACAGTGGCCGGAGGGAGGTAAATTCCAGACCCGCTCACCTGTAGGTCCGTCTGTTGCATTTTCTCTCACGGGCTGCCAGGCGCTGGGGGAAGCAGGCATGTAGGAAGGAAGGCTTGGGGGCCCCTTGGAAGTGCCAGACGTCTCTCCCACCCACAGACACACTTCCTGGCTCTCCAGGAATTTGATTCAGCAACAGTTACTGAGCAGTTAGTTATGAAACAGTCACAATGGCTGCCATTTATTGCGGGCCTGGAGAGTTCCAGGGGCAGAGATGGCCTCCCTCTCTCCTGGAGCCCCTCAACAGCTAGTCCCTGACTTGTCCAGGGTCACACAGCTGATTTGTCCAGGGTCACACAGCTAGTCCCTGACCC